AGGTGCCTGCCACAACGCCCGGCTATTTTTTGGTTGCAGCCATCCTTGTTTTTTTTGGTGGGCCCGGGCTGGATTCGAACCCACCAGCTCAGGTACATGTGGCTGGTGCCTTAGCCACTTAAGCCACAGGCACTGAGCCTCTTTTTTCTTTTTTAAACAGAGTCTCATTCGGTCACCTTGGAGTGCTGTGGCATCGTCAGAGTTCACAGCAACCTCACAATCTTGGGTTCAAGCAATCCTCTTGCTTTAGCCTCTGGAGTAGCTGGGACTACAGACTCCTGCCACAAGATGGGATCTTGCTCCTGCTCAGTCTGGTCTCCAACTCCTGAGCTCAGGCAATCCACCTGCCTAAGCGTCCCAGAGTGCTAGGATTACAGGCATGAGCCCCAACCCCCCCCAATTGTTTTTTTTTTTCATTTCTACTTGCCCATTAATTCAAGATGTAAAGCGTTTATTTTTTTAATTCAGACTCCTTTTGTATTATTAATTTATTTATTTATTCCAGTTTTTGGCCAGGGCTGGGTTTGAACCCGCCACCTTTGGTATATGGGTCTGGTGCCCTACTCCTTTGAGCCACAGGCACTGCCTGTAAAGCATTTATTTATATGCTTATCAACCATTTGTATAGAGAGGTTACTGAGTATTATATATTGAATAGGAAAGTATCTATTCAAATCCTTTAACCACAGATCCTGGTTGTCTTTTTTTTGTTTTGTTAAATTATAGAAGTTCTTTTTATTTTAAGAGACAGAGTCTCACTTTATCGCCCTTAGTATAGTGCCGTGGCGTCATATTGCTCACAGCAACCTCTAGCTCTTGGGCTTAGGCAATTCTCTTGCCTCACCCTCCCAAGGAGCTGGGACTACAGGCACCCACCACAAGGCCCAGCTATTTTTTTGTTGCAGTTTGGCCAGGGCTGGTTTTGAACCCACCACCCTTGTTATATGGGGCTGGCGCCCTTCTTACTGAGCCAGAGGCACCACCCTATAGAAGTTCTTTATGTAATCTAAATGTAAATTCTGTATCAGATATGATTTCCAAATTATTTCTGCCTATTCTGTGGATTATCTTTTCATTTCTTTTTTATTTTTTGAGACAGTCTCATTTTGTCACCCTCGGTAGAGGACCATGGCATCACAGGTCACAGCAACCTCAAACTCTCAGGCTCAAGCAATTCTCTTGCCTCAGCCTCCCAAGTAGCTGGAACTATAGGTGCCCACCACAACATCTGGCTTTTTTTTTTTTTTTTGGTAGAGACAGTCTCATTTTATCACCCTTGGTAGAGTACCATGGCCTTACAGAGCTCACAGCAACCTCCCAACTCCTGGGCTTAGGCAATTCTCTTGCCTCAGCCTTTCAAGTAGCTGGGACTATAGGCGCCCACTACAATGCTCATCTATTTTTTTTTGCAGTTTGGCCAGGGCCAGGTTTGAACCTGCCTCCCTCGGTATATGGGGCCAGCGCCCTACCCACTGAGCCATAGGTGCCATCCGCTTTGTTTTTTTTTTAAGAGATAGGGTCTTACACTTGCTCAGGCTGATTTCAAACCTGTGAGCTCAGGCAATGCACCCGCCTCAGCCTCCAGAATGCTAGGATTACAGGCATGAGCCACCGCACCTGGCCTATCTTTTCATTTTTTGATGTTGTCTTTAACGTACCAAATGTTTGGAGTACAGTGGTATAAAATTCATAGAAGCCTAGAACTCCTAGGCTTAAGTGATCTTCCCACCTCTGCCTCCCAAGTACCTAGGATTACAAGAATATGCCAACATGCTTGACTTAGTTTTTTTTTGAGACAGAGTCTCACTACGTCGTCCTGGGTAGAGTGCCATGGCATCACAGCTCACAGCAACCTCAAACTCTTGGGCTTAAGTGATTCTCTTGTCTCAGCCTCCCAAGTAGCTGGGATTACAGGTGCCCAACACAACGCCCCACTATTTTTTGGTTGTAGCAGGTCCGGGCTGGGCTCAAACCCACCAGCCTTGCTGTATATGGCTGGTGCCCTACTCACTGAGCTACAGGTGCCTAGCTGCTTGGCTAAGTTTTTAAATTTTTTGTAGAGATGGGGTCTTGCTATGCTGCCAAGGCTGGTCTCACACTCCTGGCCTCAAATAATTCTCCTGCCTCTGTGTCCCAAAGTGGTGGGACTACAGGTGTGAGTCACCATAGTTCTCAAATATTTTTGAGGCTGGGCGCCTATAGCTCAAGTGGCTAAGGCACCAGCCACATACACCAGAGCTGGCAGGTTCGAATCCAGCCCGGGCCTGCCAAACAACAATGACAACTACAACCAAAAAATAGCTGGGCATTGTGGTGGGCATATGTAGTCCCAGCTACTTGGGAGGCTGAGGCAAGAGAATCACTTAAGCCCAGGAGTTGGAGGTTGCTGTGAGCTGTGATGCCACAGCACTCTACCATGGTGACAACTTGAGGTTCTGTCTCAAAAAAAAAAAAAAAAAAAATATTTTTGAATAAATACACGGGAAGAAGGGGGGGACTGCCTAAATTTTATCTGAGTTCTAATTATAATTCAATTCTAACAATCTCATAATTTTACACTGAAGAATTTCTTCAACCTATAGAATCATACAATACACTCCTTAATTTGTCAAATATTTATAAAATATTTCTAACACTGAAATGTCCCCAAGGTAGTTCAATAAATATATAACATATACCTTCAATATCTGAAACTATTAGCATCTGAGGTTGAGAGAGACCTTCTTGAAGACTGTAGAAATGGATTGTACTGTCAAATGTTATGAAGCCAATTTTTGTTCTAGTGTTGCCCGGAAGCCTAAAAACAAATTCATAAAGAGTATTTTATGAAGTTTTCCCATATACGTATATATACAAAGTACCTCCTAAGAGAGTCACAAGAAAATATCTAATTTAGTATTATGGAAATTGGCCCAATATAAATGTTTAAACCACCCAGTGTTTACAATGAAAATATATCTGATTCAAAGGGAAAGCACTACACATAAGCCAAAAAATCAAGAGAAATAGCAATCCCAAAACAATTACATAAGTTATATATAATCATTTAGAAAATGGCATGTAAAAAACACTGGAAAGCATATACATATACTTTGCAGATGATTTGAAGTTATTTTATAAAGACTACTTCAAAAAATTACCCTATACAAATTAAAAAATATAACATAAATTTAGATAGTGCATCTCTTGTATTGTTTAATGGATTTATTTAAGAATCAAGAGAAGGCTTGGCACCCATAGCTCAGTGCTTAAGGTCTGGCCACATACACCGGGACTGGCGGGTTTGAACCTGGCCCCAGCCTGCTAAACAATGACAACTACAAGAAAAAAACAGCCTGAGGGCGGCACCCATAGCTCAGTAGGTAGAGTGCCAGCCATATGCACCAAGGCTGGCAGGTTTGAATCTGGCTGGGGCCAGCTAAGACAGTGACAACTGCAACAAAAAAATAGCCAGGCATTGTAACAGGCACCTGTAGTCCCAGCTACTCAGGAGGCTGAGGCAAGAGAATTGCATAAGCCCAAGAATTTGAGGTTGCTGGTGAGCTGTGATGCCATAGCACTCTACCCAGGGTGACAGCTTGAAATTGTCTCAAAAAAAAAAAAAAAAAAGCTGGGTGTTGTGGTGGACGCCTATAGTCTCAGCTACTTAGGAGGCTGAGGCAAGAGAATTGCTTAAGCCCAAGAGTTTGAAGTTGCTGTGAGCTGTGACTCCACACCCTCTACTGAGAACAATATGATGAAATTCTGTCTCAAAAAAGCAAATAAAAAATAAAGAGGAGCAAAAGCATCCATTTTAAAAAACTCAAATAAGTGGAACTACAGTTGCATAAAAGGAAAAACAAGCTGGTTATCACTCTCACTTATGTTTGGATGAATCAGTGGATGATCTCATGGATAACAATCCCCATGTACAATCTTCAACATTAAAAATACAAATGCTGGCAAGAACAAGAATCCCATTTCACCGGGTGAGGGATTTACTTCATTTGTGAAAAGATTTGGTCTTGCCACATTTCTCCATATTATGTACCTGAACTATACCTCATTAAGGTCCCTCTAGCTATTATAGATTACACTAAGTATCTAAAAATTATTTAAAATATAGTTATTTTAAGAGACTTAAGAGACATGATAATCAAATACAGTGTGTGTACACTCTTTGGATTATTACTCCAACAAACAATAAAAGTTCATTTTTGAGACAACTATGAACAAACAAAAAATGATCTGGCATTAGATCATAGAAAGGAATTATTGCTAATTTTCCTTACTAGTATTATAGTTAGGGTTAAAAGACCATATTAACAGGTAAAAACAATATGCTGGCTGAGAGCTGCTTTTAAAAAAAATTTTACTCTTTTTTTTGGAGACAAAGTCTCACTATGTAGCCCTAAGAAGGTGCCATGGCGTCACAGCTCACAGCAACCTCCAACTCTTGGGGTTTAGCAATTCTCTTGCCTTCAGCCTCCTGAGTAGCTGGGACTACAGGTGACTTGCCACAATGCCCAGCTATTTTTTGGTTGCAGGTGTCATTGTTGTTTAACAGGCCCAGGCCAGGTTTGAAACTGCCAGGCTCAAGGTATGTGGCCGGTGCCCCACCCACTGAGCTATGAGCACCAAGCCTGCTTTAAAATTTTTAAGGGGAGAAAAAAGGTGTATGTGTGAAAGGAAAGGATCAGATGAAGCAAGAACAGAAGAATGTTGAAAACAGTGAATTTGGGGGATAGGTATCTGCAGATTTATTACTTTATTTTCCTACTTAACAAAGATTTAAAAATAATGTTTCTTTTCTTGTAGGGGGAGTATGTGTGTGTGAGTGTATGGGTATACGTGGTATGTATGTGGTGACATGCGAGGTATAGTGTGTGTGATGTGTGCATGGAGATCTAAAAATAATTTTTCTAAGAGAAAATAAAGCCAAAGATAACAACTGATTTAAGTGGTCTTTTAGAACACAATTTTTTTTTTTGAAAACTACTTATTCATTTTGCAAATATTGTTAGCTTCAGAGTTAAGTTGAAATGAAGAGACTTACAAATCCAGATTTTCTAACAAACTCTGGCAAACTGAATTCAAGTATCCAGTTTCAACTGCATTGTGAGACACATCAAATACAAAGAGGTACACTGGAGGTTGAGGTGGTCGTAACTGAAGAAAAAAAAGATCTTGTTAAGTATATCCAGCCAGATTAAATTTAAACTTATCAATTGCTAGGTCCATATACAGCAAAGCAATAAAATAAGCATTTTTAGTGGATTGACAATAAACAGGTGAAGCTATTCTTTTTTTTTTTTTTGCAGTTTTTGGACAGAGGTGGGTTTGAACCTGCCACCTCCAGCATATGGGGACGACGCCCTACTCCGTTGAGCCACAGGTGCCACCCCAGGTGAAGCTACTTTACATTGCTTACAAATGCATACTTTTTTCCTTCTTTTTTTTGAGACAGAGTTTCACTATGTTGCCCTATGTAGAGTGCCATGGTGTCACAGCTCACAGCAACTTCCAACTCTTGGGCTTGAGCGATTCTCTTGCCTTAGCCTCCTGAGTAGCTAGGACTACAGGCACCCGCTGCAACACCTGTCTATTTTTTGTTGCAGTTGCCACTGCTGTTTTAGCTGGCTGGGGTGGGATTTGAACCCCCCACCCTCAGTATATGGGGCCGGTGCCCTACCCACTGAGCCACAGGCATGGTCCTTTCCTTTTTTTTGAGACAAGATCTCACTCAGTTACCCTGGGATGGAGTACTGTAGCATCACAGCTTATAGCAACCTCAAACTCTTGGGCTCAAGCGATCCTCTTGCCTCAGTCTCCCAAGTAGCTGGGCCCCCACCACAAAACCTGGTTAGTTTTTCTATTTTTAGTAGAGATGTCTTTAGTAGAGGTCTCATTTTGCTTAAACTCCTGAGCTCAGGTGATCCACACATCTTGGCCTCCCAGGGTGCTAGAATTATAGGACTGAACCACCCCACTCAGCCTTACAAATACATACTTGAAACAAAAATAAGTTGTAATTGCCATAATTCAAAAAAGTATTTTCTCAGGCTGGGCACAGTGGCTCACGACCATAATCCCAGCACAGGGGAGGCCAAGATGGGAGGATTGCCTGAGCTCACTGGTTCGAGACCAGCCTGAGCAAAGGCGAGACCCTATGTCAAAAAAATAGCTGGGTGTTGTGGCGGGTGCCTGTAGTCTCAGCTACTTGGGAGGCTGAGGCAACAGAATTGCTTAAGCGCTAAAGTTGGAGGTTGCTATGAGCTGTGATGCCACAGCCACTCTACGGAGGGTAACAAAGTGAGACTCTGTCTCAAAAAAATTTAAAAAAGTATTTTCTCTAGGAGAAGAAGGGGAGGAAATATAATCAGAAAGGCTTGTGTACTATCAATGTTTAATTTCTTTATCTAGGTAGTGCTAACAAAGGAATTTACTTTATAAACATTTGGTATGTTTGTATTTATGTCTTATTAACTTTTTATGTGTGTTAGATTTCACAATTTTTTGAGGGGGAGACAGAGTCTCACTATGTAGCCCTCGGTAGAATGCCATGGCATCACAGCAACCTCCAACTCTTGCCTGTCAACCTCCCGAGTAGCTGGGACTACAGGCACCCGCCACAACGCCCATCTATTTTTTGGTTGCAGTTGTCACTATTGTTACTGGGCTGGGCTCAAACCTGCCATCTTTGGTGTATGTGGCCGGCACCCTACCCCTTGAGCTACGGATGCGGAGCCCACAATTTTTTTTTTCTTTTTTTGAGACAGAGTCTCACCCTCAGTAGAGTGCCGTGACATCATTACACTTCACAGCAACCTCAAACTCTTGGGCTCAAGCAATATTTCTGCCTCAGCCCAAAGACTGGGACTACAGATAGCACCACAATTCCCAGTTAGTTTTTCTATTTTTAGTAGAAACAGAGTCCCACTCTTGCTCAGTCTGGTGTTGAACTCCTGAGCTCAAGCAATCCACCCACCTCAGCCTCCAAGAGTGCTGGGATTAAAGCTGTGAGCCACCTCGCTTGGCCCTACGTTTCACAATTTAGAACAACTATAGCTCTCTAAAAAGTAATCCTCAGCTGGTTATTTAACCACAAAGTCGTTCAGCCAAATTCCAGAAAAATCTATGACTCTGTATTTTATTTAAATTTTTTTTTTTTTT